CATTCTCCTTATCTGCGAGTCAAGAGCCTGAAAATCTACTTGAAAAACCGAAAATCTTTACTTTAAAATTCATTTTCCTCAATCTAATTTTCGATCATACATTTCATGGGCCCAAAATTTTTATCGACTTTTCAATCACAAATTTGATCAACTTTTATTAAAATCTACTAAAAATCTTATTTTTATCTTAACCAAATAGAGGCTTAATCTACAAGCAATATCAGTTAAGAGTCAGGACCAAAATGGAGTTGAAGGAGAAGAATCCAAGAAAGAAAGCAGAATTCTTATTTTAGTGAATGAACCATCTATGGCTAATCAAGAAGCTTAATCATTCGAGTTAGTAATTTAACAAAATACATGCACAAAACCTTCTATATGTAGAAACAAAATCATATTTGATTGGATCCCATATCGCTTACATATGAAAATTTTAATGCTTGTATAACTTATTCTAATAAGATTGACGTTGATGTTTAACGATGCAACCACGCCACTGTATGGTATCAGAGATCAAGGAGCTCAAACTAGAATTTCGATCTAACGTTCAAACAAACTATTGAATTTCAAGATTGAGGTTTCAAATAATCTATCATCATATGAAGGCATATTATTCTACACTACATAAATATGAAAAAAATTAATCGAAAACAATAACCAATATGTAATGATATGCATATGCTATTCATCTTAACAAGTTGTCGACCTATAAAATGAAACTTTAAGACTATAGATATAGATAATAGAAAGTGTGTCAACTTTCTTTTCAAATTGATTACAGTAGTAAAAATCTTGTCTTTAATAAATTTAGAATTAAATTGCATTCAATTGATTGCAACATCTATAGGGAAATCGTCATGTGATACAACAATATTTTTCTTGACGTGGTTTGTTCAGGCGTGGCAATGGTCATGCCGGGAAATTTAGGGTAGCAAGACGAGATTAAATTAGAACAATGCTCCACTTACAGTCTCCTTCACAGTCCACTCACATGGAGGTGGTAGCCCATCCACGAGTGAGAGGACCGTGAAACTCTCTGTGAAGGGAGACTGTACATTTAGCAAAATTGATTAAATTATCCCATTTTCAATGCCGTATTCTCCTTTACTTATTTATTTTCAAAATAAAATTTAAATTTGAACGTTAAAAATAAAAGTCAAGATAGTTATCTCATTGGACAGGGACTAGATATTTTCCCCATCATCGTGCCTCCACATTTGCTTCACTACTCAAAACCAGAAACTACTGTTTTAGTCCAATCAAACAACTGAAGAACTCTTGTAGGAGTGAGAATCTTCGATTCAACCATGGCTTCCTCGGGTGAGCCAATTTCTTCTCCCTCAAATCTCCCTTCATCACTACCAGCAAAATCCGACCAAATCCACGTGTTCTGGCACGAGGGCATGCTGGAACACGACACGGGCAAAGGAGTTTTTGACACAGGAATGAATCCTGGTTTTCTTGATGTCCTAGACAAGCACCCTGAGAATTCAGACAGGGTGAAAAATATGGTGTCCATTCTTAAAAAGGGACCCATTGCACCTTTCATTTCTTGGCACCAAGGAAGGCCTTCCCTCATCTCTGAATTGCTTTATTTTCATACTCAAGGTAAAATTTTGTCCTGATTTTTACATTTACTTGGTTGTTCTTATGTTTTGTTATTGGGCATTTTCCTTTGAACTTGTATCGTTACCCAAATCAGCATAGCCATTAGTTTCTCTGGACGAATAGACTAATGGGGTAGACATTATAAAGTTTAGGTACTAGATCGATATTGACATTTTGAAGTTTAGCAACTATTTGCGAGTTATAAAAATTGTGCACCAATGTGTTAAGAGATTGAAGTTAAATAAGTAACAGCTTAAGCTTTTAGTTGAAGAAGTACAATTTGGAAGAGAAGATATTGGATAGCTTTAAGCTTGATTAAGATGAGGAGATCTTAAGGTTGAGAGTTCGGGAAGACCTCTGTCTTGTTGCTTAAACTGATCATGAACAATTTGTGATCAAGAACAACTTGCACCGAGTTGCCTAATTAAAGACAGATCCGGGTAGTGAAGGTATGAAGGAAGAAATACATTTATAATCAAATTATGAATAGTGAATTGTGCTTAGTAAGTCACATACATTTTAACTGTTTGAATTTCTACGTTTCAAGAAGGTATCTTTTGATTTAGACCTTCAACAAGTACAAATATTTTCAAGTCTTAGTGAAGAAATGTACAAAATAGAATTTTATATTCTACAGAGGGTCGTAATTAATGTTAGCACATAATGTGGATTAGCTCTGTGTTAACTTCTACGAACTTTAGAGCAGAAAATTACAGTAAGAAACAACTCCAATTATGTTCAATAATTGGCTTTGATCTTTTGTTTCATGTAGACAGGGGCAGAGCCAGCCCGTCGAAATAGGAGGGTCCCAAGGGGTGGAGGGCCCCCCCAATTTTTTTTTTTTTTGAAACATTATTTGTTAAAATGAGAGAAGTTGGTACTTTATGATGGAGAAATGAAACAAATGAACATAAATTAATGTACATTATTAACAAAAAAATCAAGAGATGTATAAAAGAAAGTACTAATCTTTAATTTAGCAAAATCATACATTGTTACAAGCGTTCCTTTCGAGTTTAAGTTTTTGGATTG